ATCGAAGATAAAAATAAAAACAAAATGCAGCTTTCCCCCCCCCCCCCCCCCGCGAAGGGGCTTGTTCACTTTGAATTTGTTCCTCCTAGCACTAGGGTCAACTCTGACTTTCAATGTGACATTTTCAGATGCGTGAGAGAAAATGTGTAACAAAAAAGACCAGAACTTTGGGGCAACCACAAGTGGCTCCTTCATCATGACAGTGCACCCACCCACACATCCCTGAAAACCATGGAGTTTGTGACTAACAACAATATGGTTATCATTGCCCATTCTCCCTACTTGCTGGACTTAGCCCCCTGTGACTTTGTTTTGTTTCCCAAATTGAAAATGAAACTGAAGGGATGACATTTTGAAACACTGTCTGACGTCCAAAGAGACTCACAAATGGTACTCAACAGCATTAAGGAAAATGACTTCCATGGTGCTTCTGAAGTGTGGCAAAAACAATGGGATCTCTGTATACATTCCCAGGGAGACTATTTTTAAGGAGACGGCAGCCAAAATTGAATAAGTTAAGCCAGCATTTCCTTTTTGACCTAGTCTGGGAACTTTCTGATAGCAATATTATAGTACTCGTAGTATTATGCAGGTAGATACAACAGTTTTCTTGTCTTTGGTTTCATTTTGTGCATCTGATACTTACAGATTGTGGAGACTATGTCATATACAGACAATGTTGCAAACTTTCTTGGCAGCCTTGGTTCATTCTATGATGCTGTTCCTGTAGAAGACTTGGAGTTATTGGTAGGAAACGTGCTTGAACGGGTACGTTCACAACCTGGATCTCCTCTCAGTGGCTCACCTCTGGGTAAGTAAAATGCATTAACTAGTTCAGGAATGGTGATTGCATGCCTCATTCCAATGAAAGTAAGTGAATTTAACTTTTCATCATTATATTCAAAAGATTATGACTGGGAAATGGGGTATTTTGTGTCTGGTATCTGTTGTCCTTTAACCGTAAGATTATTTTTATTTTGGTGGGATATCTTGGGATCTGATTTGCTTAAGGGGATGAATTAAGTAGTTTGAATTCAGATGTTCACAGATAACATTAACACAGTTTATTCGAGATGCTATGTCATTCTTTATTTGATGAATTTGACAGTACAAAACTTCCAGCACCTGAAATGCTTTATGCCAAATCTCAGTCCTTCACATTTAATAGTTTGGAGAAGTGTTGAAACTCCTATGGCATGTGAAAAGGTAAAATTGCCCCTGTGCTTAACTAATTAAGCGCTACGCCATGAAGGCATATGGGGGAGTGGATGTGTAGACCCACATTTTCTTGACCTTTGCACTAGTTGGAGGTGAGTGGTCAGCTTCACACCCCAACCACTTTATCCCCTGGAGAAAGAGTCCCCAGTACACATTGGATAGGAGGTTGGGAGGACCCCCAAGCTGGTCTGGATGACTTGGAGAAGAGAAAATTCTTGACCCTACTGGGACTCCAACTCTGACCCCTTAATCATCCAGCCTGTAGCCAGTTGCTATACCAACTGCACAAATCTGGCTCTCCCTGTGGCAGGAGATGTGGTAAAATAAACTCTTGACACATATCTGCAGTTTGCAACCAAGCATGCTCAACTTTATATCGGTTTCATTTAGTCCATAAATCTACATAATTACATTGTTGTCAGCTTAACTGCCCCAGGTGTCATTCCTGAGTCTCCAAAAGGTGGCAGTATGTCATTAACTTTCAGTAGTGTCCCTTAAACATAACACACTTCCCTATCTCATACTTCAGTAACAGTTTTAATTTTCCAGTTGCTGAATCATCACTGAAAGAAGGTTCTCTTTGTATCAATAGACATGTTGTATGTACGTAGGTAAGTCAATAAGTAAGTTACAAATGGATATAGAACTTAAATAAGAGTACTGATTTGAAAAATGCTCTTACTTCTTAACATAATCTCTCTGTACATTGACACACTTGTACCATCGTTTCAGAAGCCCCTGAAAACGAGCAACATAAAATTCTTTGGGCTGCTGTCGGAACCAGGTGTGTTCACACGCCATGGACTACCTCATAATGCATGACAGTTTGCATGCTTTTGTAGAATGGCCTTATGAAGTTTCCTGAGGATGTTACAGCAGAAATCAGCATTTAAGGTTCGTCCTTGAGGCTGGAGTGTGGTCAGCAGTATGCCTTCGTGATTCCAGAAGACTGTGAGCATCACTTTCATGGAGGATGGTGTCCCCTTAAACTTTTTTTTTGGCAGGCGACACAGGATGTTTTCACTGAATTGACGGACGCTTTGTCTCAGGCTGGTAATGGTGAACCCAAGACTCATCACCTGTGACAATTTTGGCTAGCATATCGTGTCCTTCATTGTTTGTAGTGACTCAGATGCTGTAATGCCAGACCCATTCTTTACATTTTGTATTGTGGGGTCAGCATGCGCGGCATCTATCATGCACAGACTTTGTGAAAACCTAACCCGTCATGCATTATGAGGTATGCCATGCCACGTGAACACGATTGGTTCTGACAGCAGCCCAGAGAATTTCATGCTGCTGGTTTTCAGTGGCTTGTGAAACGATGGGACAAGTGCCTCAATGCACAGGGAGATTATGGTGAGAAATAAAAGCATCTTTCAAATCAGTACTCTTATTTGTTTAAAGTTCTATATCCATTTGTAACTTACTTATTGACTTACCCTCGTATTTAGTTTGCGTGCAGGAAGTACCCATGTTGCATCTCATCTTGTGGACCATCTCTTTTTGTTTGTTAATTTTATGTTCTTTTTCAGTCCCTCCAGGGATAGTACAGTAAGGTATGCCTTAGTTAAATCTTGCTTTCCCTTTCAGTTCAGTTGTATCCTTGTATTCTTGTATATCCCATTTGGAGCTAGAGATGCTTACGTTTCATACAGTGTTGTTAAAAGAATTTGATCTGTTCACTCAGAAGTCCACTTCTTCCTTACCTGGAAACTGCTTGAACAGAGACCATTGAACACAGTTATTGGTGTGAATAAGATCTGCAACTGAGAATACTTAATTTAAGATGTCCTGTGGTTTCCCACAGTGTATCCAAGTAAAAGTAGTAATACAGGGGAACCTTGCTTAATGAGCATAATTCGTTCCAGAAACACTTGTTAAGCGAAACAAATTTTCCCATATAAATTAATGTAAAATACGATAATGCATTCCATGCCCCAAAAAAATACTCAACAAATTTTATGTATAACGTTTATTCAAAGAAAATTATATATACATTGTTAAGGAGCATGAATCATCTTCATCTTTTCTTCTATGCGGAATGAACCAACCCGGAATGTGAATTCGATTTGCAGGAAAAAAAAAATTCATATGAGGAGCAACCTTTCAACATCGTCGAGAATACGTAACCGTGGTGTAGATATTCTTGTCACTCCCTTTGAAGCATCTATCTCCTTAATCTTGTCCTTGTTCTTGAGGGTAGTGCAAATCGTTGATGTAGACCGATTGTATGTGTGTGCTAGATCAGCCACGCTCACACCTCGTCGCTTTTCAATGATTTTACATTTCATTTCTATGGTTATTTTTATTCTCTTATGGCTGTCTCTTTCTTCGGGGACATTTCTGCAAGGGTTATTAAACTTTGCACACAAAAAAATCACAAATAATATGTCTGAACACAAGTTTGGAAAATTGTGTGATCACAAGCGACACTAAGATGCTAGCGGAACGAGTGCTAAACACAGACTGACGTAGCAAGCGTACAATCCGGGACTTCCACTCTCGTCACTTGTTATGCGAATTACTCGTTATGAGAGGTGCTCGTTAAGCGAGGTTCCACTGTACTTCTGTGGAACTAATATGATCCATTTCCTTTTCTCTTTTGCTTAAAATGTGCTAAAACCAGAATGGAAGACATTTCAGATACTGTACAAAATAGAGTGAAAGAAGACAGTAGGGAATTTTATGGTTTAAAGTCATAAGTCTTACTCTTCAAAATAATATTACAAATATTCCAGGTTAAACGTCTTAAGAAGTGAATGGTGTGAGGTTCATCGTGACCTTTATCAGAGAGAAAGAAATTAGTATTTAAATAATTTGGTTCAGTGCATTTATTTATATTAACTCTGCTGTCATATGTCAGAATATGATAGTTTGGAAACATGACATAACCATGTAAGATTTGAGGTTTTCTTCATAACATAACCAGGTCAAAATAACATAACTCGTCTCAATATCTAAGAGTACATCAGTATAGAACTGGAGTTTGTTCTTCAGCATCACGTGAGGCTTCACCACACAGGGTGTCTACGACATCTGCTGCAAATGGCCGCATCACATCAAGTCTGGAGACTAGTCCGGCCAGCAGCTACTCAGCCTCACCGTTGCCGCCTGACCCAAATGATGATGAGGAGGAAGAAGAGTTCATTGATACTGTGGAGGTCAGTGTACATATATCCTTAGCATGACTTCTATGAGCCTACACATTCATTTTCAGGCATGTTTAAAACTTATCTTTTCTCAGATTGACTTTTATGGGATGTGTCACCATATAGTAACAGTGATTCGCTTTTCTGTTAATCTCAAACTGCAGTTTGGTAACACTGAAAATTTTCTGGGAGAGATTCTCTAAATGTTCATTCCCTGGAAGATAAGTAGGATGTGAAGGCAGTATGGAGTATTCGGTTGAATCAGCTGAAACGACATTATTATTCTTCAATTATGAGGTACACTGAAGAACACTGTATACCAGGAAGGCAGCAACAGTGGAGGAACTGAGGTGTGAGATTGAGTTTTCTGTAACCTTGAGGTAAATTTTGCAACAACTGGCTAATTTCTATATGCATAATGTGTAAGATATGAGTAAATGAAGCATATACAATTTAGAGACTCTGTATGTTGTACATCATGGGAACAATAGATTGTCAGTAGAGTGCGGAAGTGATTGCTTGAAAGCCTTTATTAGTTTCCTGGAATTCCCGTCTCCTATGTTTTGTGGCCATTGCAGTGAACATTACCTTGTTCTTTACTCCCTTATCACAGATAAGTCAGATGTTAGAAGCTCAAATCTATGAACACTTAAAAACAGCCTTCCAATCTATACAATATGTGTTGCTTGGACCAAGAATTGTCTTTTATTCCATAAATACTTTTCAGGATCTCACTCTGGAACACTTTGAGGTGATAAATGTGTATATCCATGCATTTGGAATCCATCTGAAATAACTTAGAAGGTAATCTGTATCAGTTAGTGATGTAGACAAACAGAGAAACACGATCCAGCAGTCTTCTATCACGACTGGAACCCAGAAGTCTTGATTTGTACAGACACCAGAATACCAAATGTCTATAGTCTTCCCAAGCTCACAAACCCAGCATGCTCTTATGAGATATAGCTGGTACCACAGGCTCCCCGACCCACCATCTCGCCAGATGACTACATAGAGCAGCCCTTCCCATGATCCATATCTTGTCATCACATACTTAACTCAGTGCTTCATGCAGAACTTGGAACAGCTTAGCATCACTGAGGTGTCATTTTTGTTAGCTTTGATGTGGAATCCTCCCTTTTCCCCCAGACATGATGGACATTGTCTAGGAGCAACCAACTCCCTCTACAAGACCTCATGCTCATATAAAATACTGTCAGTAGTGTCATCTTCACAAACCAGGGATAGTTCTGTAAACAAGCTGATGGTGCTGCCATGGGGTTCCCACTTTCTCCTTAACCAACAGCTTTCAAGCCTATCAAAACTGAAATGCTGGCATAGATATGTGGACAGTGTGTTTGTAATTTGGCCATGCAGACCAGCCAACATTAGATACTTCTTGGCCACCACATCACCAGGATTTCTGAATAAATTGAGACACCAGACTGGAGGATGAGCAAGCAGTGGTAGCCGAACACCCCACAGACAAGAAACATGGTCATAGCAGACATCTGGGCTTACCACATGTGCATTATGAGGGAAGCCATTGAAATAACAGAACACTGTCATAACTCCCACTATGAGAGTGGATAGACTTGATAAATGCTGACTTCAGCTCGTCCCTATAAATGTACCACTCAACCAGTAATGAGCAACTGCTGAATTTCACCCATGCTTACTGACACAATGGACACAAACGAATTTTTATCACCTCCTTTCCTAGCCATGTGACCACTAAAATCTTTTTCCACAAATATTTCCTAATCAGATGGTTATAGGAACATCATCCTTCCCTTCTTCTCATTACCAGAAATGCTTCCATCATCTCTTGTCCTGAGTATGAAATTGCAAAAATGTATTTTCAAAAGCTTTCAGTCACCTCTTTTTGTCAACCATGTTGTTGACCCCAATGGGATAGCACTCTGCTCTTTGATTTTTCCCATCACCCCTTCAACTCCCACTCACTGCCCAGTGCCAGATCTGTGACAGCTTCTGAAAACCCCCAGGGACATTAACCCTGAAGATGGTGACTGTAATGTTTGCTGAAGTACTAGAAAACATACCGCATTCTATACAACTAATTCCTGAAATCTGAAGTCATAGAGAATTTAACATGTATAATTTACACATTTTCTGAAATATATATTGTATACTATGTCAGATCTTGAGTTTCAGTATTTTCAAGCTGATAAAAAATAGTGAAATTTGTATGACAGTAAAGGTGTCAACCATGTCTTTCAAGTTCATAACAGTACCCATCATGCACTCTATCTCAGTGTGGCACAGGTGACTGGGAAAGGCTTACCTGAAGCCTGATTTATTTCAGCAGTGCAGTTGAAGTCCAAATTCAATTCATTCTCAGTCACTGTGAACTTACGTTTGTGTTTATCTCTTACACAGGCTGTGCCAGAGCGTATAGTAAAAGAGAGCTCCACTGTTGGAAGACCATTATCAGGATCAAAGAAACTGAACCACTGCAATCATGGTGTTGCCATGATTCAAAAGAATGACTCAACAGGAATTGTCTCTAATGGCCATATTAATGGTTCAGCCATTATTAATCATGTGAGTGATCTTCACAGCCATATTACAGAAAGTGAGGTGGCTGTAACAGTGAACGGTCTTGGGGAAGGAGTTGGAGGAAAGGAGACAGTTAACAGCAGAGGGCGTTCCAGAGAGCGACACAGCCCCAGAATACAAAGAGGTTAGAACAATCATCTCAATTTTATGATTGTGGGTATTGTAATATCCATAACAGGGGCTGTAAGATTGTTCCTCAGGACCAGTTGTTGTTACAGACCCATAGAATGCTAGAGAATCTTGTGATGTCAGTACCTAATCATTGCCTAAGGATTTAAACCAATTTAAGTAACCTGAAGATAGAAAATGTATGCTTGGACTGGGATGGCTGTAATTTCTCAGTTTTAATAAAATTTCAGATTTTATAAGCAGGTCCTGATCTGCAGAATATGAGTATGTTATGTACATAAGCTTTAGTTATTTAGCTTGATGTAGCAGCCATTGAAACACTAAAAAGATGAGCCAACAATTTCACTAGCACATCATCACCCCAGACAAAACATAAATTTCATCAGCTGTCACTGGTTTTCAGGGATGCAATAAGGATTCAGTTTGAGCACACCATACCTGTGATTTTATGAACTGTTCTGTGTAGAAGTTGGTCTGAGTTACCATATCTTCCCAAATTAGTTACTGACAATGAGTTCCAGAATTTCCAAAATGTCATTTGTGTCGTTTCCTGCTTCTGGAACCCCAGATCCACCAGCAAAATGTTTGCTGTGTTCCCTGTAAATTGATATATTTCTACCTCCACCATGACCCTGCGAATCATAGGAGGCAATGAAAAGGGAAGTCTCAAATGTGAGACAGTAAAATATGGTTGCGATTCCCAAGGGACTCAGACCCGAGAAAGACTGCACTGGCAAGGGCCAGTAGCATGTAAAAAAGACAGACCCGTCCTCTCGTTCAACAGTAATAACTGGGGCTCGACACCAGGACTTACTGACTGACTGACTGTCAGTCGCAATGTAACTTGGACTTAGATGTATTTCTGTTCAAATTCTGTCACACCAGTCTCTGCTTCTTTATGATCATTAACCACAACTTGGAGACCTAATACAGAGACTATTGAATATATTATTAAACAGTCATTATAAATAATAAAACTCCACTATAGGCTTTTACATACTTAAACTGCAGATAAGTGATATCATATAAACACCACTGGAATGTAGGGTTTTTAATAAAACTCCACTATAGGCTTTTACATACTAAAACTGCAGATAAGTGATATCATATAAACACCACTGGAATGTAGGGTTTTTAATAAAACTCCACTATAGGCTTTTACATACTAAAACTGCAGATAAGTGATATCATATAAACACCACTGGAATGTAGGGTTTTTATAATCTGCTGGGAGCCTCTGGTGGATTGGGGTCTTGTTGGTTGATTGCTACAATACATTTATCTTATTATCCAGCTGAGAATTGTTTGAATTTTTTGCCAGCCATGTCACATTTGTATGTAACAGCAATTTAAGTATTCCAGAGAAATCAGTGTTCTGTAATTCTCAAACTTAAAATCACTGCATGGGATTCAACTGCCCTAAGTTTCATCCCTTTTGTATATAAAAGTAATCATCTCAGTATATTTATATTCTTCTTGTTTTCTGCAGTTATGCTCTGGTTAATCACAAGCCCAAAATTCAGTTCATATTGACCCATTCTCTACTTTGAATTCAAACTGCACAAAACAGTTTCTGTATTTGTCTACTATGCGGTGTGAAGCAAAAAGTGCAAGTCTCCATACCATTACTCAGTAGTTACCTTGTGTACAGAGTTGATAATAATGCTGTATCAGCTTAGGAAAATAATGATGTAACTGCTTCATAAACTGACATTTGACAGTAATACAGGGAGATCGAGAAGTCACGCACATCACACTAAGCAATTATGTTTTACTGGTTTAATGCACAAACTACAAGACAACTACAAGACTTACTATTAATGTGTATAACCTTACATCTTAGAAATGCAAAATCAAATCATGTCTTTAAAACGTTTGCTCGAAATGGCTTCTCTGTTTAGCACTCTTTTTACTGTGTTTGAGGCCACTTTGTGGAGCACCTGTAAACTGATGCTGTTAATTGCCATCGTAATGTTCCTCTTGAGGTCAGCCAGTGTATGCGGATTGTTTTTATAGACAATTCCTTTGAGGTACCCCTAAAGGAAAAACTCTCTGGGTGACAAATCAGGCGAATGCGGGGGCCACAGTCCGTTTGAAATGAGACGGTCACCAAAAAACTCACACAAGAACTGCATGGTTTCATTAGATGTGTGACATGTGGCACTAACTTACTGCAACCAACGGTCACGTTCATCAACTTCAAGAAGCGCAATAAACTGTGTAATGATGTCTTGGTACACTGGACTGTTCACTGTTGTTTCAAAGAAAATTGGGCCCACTATTCGACATGATATAGCACACCACACTCCAAATTTCTGACAGTGCAAGGGCTTTTCATGTAACACATGTGGATTTTCAGATGACCACATCCTATTGTTTTGACTGTTCACGTGGCCACTAAGGTGAACTGCAGAATCCGGATATTCCCGACAAAACTCATCTGCAACACATGCATACGAATGACTGGCGAAATAATGTTCCACAATGAAAACTCGTTCTGCGGAAAACAACATGTTTGTCATACAATAAACAAAGCTATGCTGCAGATGTTGTATGACCGATACACAACAGATGACGTTTCTACTCATTGTTGGTACTCCTACAGTACCATCTAGTGGTAGGAGATATAATTATATTAACTGCAATACAATTTATAAGAACTTTTAGTTTGATGTGTGTGACTTTTCGATCTTCCTGTATAATATGACTCAAGCATTGATATAGAGAATACGATGGGGTACCCAAAAGAAACCCAACTATTTTTTTTGTGGGCAGAGCTTTTGTAGTACCGCGTTTTGCCGCTATGAGCGCATAGATCTAACATTCCTGAGTCAATAAGCCAACTACCGTTGCTTCAGAAGGTAAGGACTAGTTTCGGCAGAGTTTATAGTGACAACTGTTTTGTGTGATCGTCGTTTTTGCAATGGCCCGAACACACGAAAATGTTGAAANCTGAGGTGAAGGAAAAAAATGATGGAGGCGCTGTCAAGCATCTCAAAAGATGAATTTAGACAATGTTTTGAAAAATGGAATAAAAGACTAGACAAGTGTATTAGTGTAAGTGGAGAGTACTTTGAAGGGGATTGAAGGTTTGTGCTTAAAATTTGAATAAATAAGTTAAAAAAAAATAAGTTCGGTTTCTTTTGGGTACCCCCTCGTACAGATTTTTTAGTGTAAAATTTGAGTGCATATGTAGTCTGGGGTAATGAATATGCACGTATTCATGAATGCAGCTTTTCCTCTATCTACATGGATAAGCCAAGCTGAACTACCAAACTCCCCGGATGTGGTGTGGCCGAAATCTGCCATGATAAGCCCACCTGAAACGAATGAGTCACTGCCAGTTAACGACATCTCAGATCAGATTCGTGAGGCTGTGCTTCATCTGCAGAGAGACCTAGATAGGGTGAATGCAAGGGTGAGAAGCCTGGAGGTTTCTGCTCTTTCCGGATCCTTACATAATTCACTGGTGAGTGACCACATGAGTTCAAAAACTCCGGTATACCTTCTGGGAGAGGAATGTCAGGTTGTTAACATGCTGTGTTGTTGTAACATACTTGAATGTGATTTGTACGAGGACTCAGTGGAACCTTTAATGGACAGATTGCATTTACTGGGGACTGAGCATATGAGTTGAGAAACTGTGATTTACCCTCCAAGAGAGGATTATCAGATTTTTTTCAAGTTTCAACATTTTATGGAATCCAAAGGCTCATTTCTGTGCTCACAGGAGTCTGCCACTGATTGCTGTCCTGAGCCAAATGAATCCAGCCCATACCACCCCATCCTATTTCTCTAGAATCCATTTTAATATTGTTCTCCCACCTACATCTAGGTCTTCTTAGTGGTCTCTTTCCTTATGGATTTCCCACCAAAACCCTCTTTGAATTCCCTGCCTATCTCATCCTCCTTGACTTGATCATTTTAATTGTATTTGGCAAAGAGTATAAGTTATAAAGCTCCTCCTCATGCAGGTTGCTCCATCCACCCATAATTTTATCCATCTTCATCCATCCTCATCACACTATTTTCTAACACCTTCAGTATATGTTTGTCCATTAATGCAGAGACCAAGTGTCACACCCATACAGAACCATGGGCAAAATTATAGTTTTGTATATTCTAATTTTTACATTTTTAGACAGCAGGAGAGAAGACAAAAGGTTTTGGACTGAATGGTAGCAAGCATTACCCAGATTTGATCTCCTCTTTAACTGAAGTTGAAAGAGCACCGTAAAATAATGTAGGAAACTATGAAGATACTGTACAGTGTTATATAGATTTTGCCTTATCATAAGATGTCCAAAGAAGCAGAATCAAAGAATTCAGGTTCATGAGCAGATGCACAACCATAGTATAATTATTGTACCTCAAAACTGGAAGGTTATATTTCCTATGACTATTTTGAGTAGGGATTATTTTAACAAAAATAAAGCATTAAAATACAATGTACAAAAGCAGTTCAGTATATATTCATCTTTGCTAATCACTGTGGTTGTGGGTTTATAGCATTTGCTGTCTTCTACCACTTGAGCATTGAGGTTGACAGTTTGGACCTCACTCTGGGCATGGATGTATATGTGCCGTTTCTATGTTTATGTTGTCCTGTATAGGTAGAGGACTTGTGATGGGTTGATCTGATGCCCAGAAAGTCCTGCCAAAATGTATGTAAACAAGGGTCTGAAAGCTGGAAAATAGGAAGCCTTGGGTTGCATTGGTATCATACCATACAGACAGAAGGGCTTTGAAATACCTTTGTACCTTAAATTGGGAGGTAGCAGGTTTTCTTTGGATAAATTATGTGTATACATTGATAAATTACTTCCTGACGTCAGAAGATAATCTACAAGGGGCAGTCACAGGACTGAATTGCATCCTAATGGCATATAAAATGAAAATTTCACAAATCAGAATGAAATCTATGGAAATACATGGAACTGCTGGTAAAGAATTAAAATTCTGGTAATAAATGACCAGATCTTAGAACAAGTCAATAATTGTAATATAGTGGGTGCAAAGTATCTAATAATTTGGTCACAGGTTTGGATGATAAATACACTTACATACTTACTTACTTACTCACTCATGCAGCTGAGCCCTTCTGGAGGAGCCACCAATTCTGCAGCTACTCAGGAATTTCCCAGCATTTTATGGAACCCGAAGGTTCATTACCGTCTTCACAAGAGCCCTCCACTGGTCCCATCCTGAGCCAGATCTATCCAATCAATACCATCCCATCCTCTCTCTCTAAGATCCATTCTAATATTGTCCACCCACCTACGCCTTGGTCGTCCCTGTGGTCTCTTTCCTTCTGGCTTTCCCACCAATATCCTGTACGCATTGATCTCCCCCATTCGTGCTACGTGACCTGCCCACCTCATCCTCCTTGACGTGCTCATTCTAATTATACTTGGAGAAGAGTACAAGTTATGAAGCTCCTCATTATGCAGTCTTCTCCAACTTCCTGTCACTTCATCTCCCTTCGGTCCAAATATTCTCCTCAATGCCCTGTTCTCAAACACCCTCAGTCTATGTTCCTCCCTTAATGTCAGAGACCAAGTTTCACACCCATACAGAACCACAGGCAAAATTATAGTTTTGTATATTCTAATTTTTATGTTTTTGACAGCAGACGAGAAGACAAAAGGTTCTGGGCTGCATGGTAGCAAGCATTACCTGAGTTCAATCTCCTCTTAATTTCCTCCTGAATCAGGTTTCGATCTGTTATCATTGTTCCCAAATATCTGAACTGTGCCACATTTTCAAAACATCTGTTTCCTATCTTTATGTCATGATTTTGCCCTGAATTTTGGTGATGAGACAGTAACATACTTAGTTTTCTCTGTGTTTACTTCTAGCCCAACCTCTTTACTTGTGTCAATTAAAGTTTATGTGTTTTTCTTTATGGTATCTACATT